ATAAAGAATATCTCGATAAATTAATAATTTATTAATTTATACGATTAAATAATATATCAATTAATTAATAAATTTTTATATTCCCAAAAATATTAATTTTTGGAGGTTTAACTGTATTATGAAAAGCCTGCTTCCAAGCTTCTGCAGTCGGTAAAATTAAGGAAATTGCCACAGAATAATTAAGATATATTACAGTTCAAAAAGATGAGTTGCATCAATTGGGTGTAGGCTTAATTCGTTACTGGCTCGGTCCAATAGCAGAACATTGATCCTGATCCATGGGCTAAAATTGGCCCACTAATATAAACATAGAATGTAAGTTGTAGTGTCCTTGGTGTTATTTTAATTGGAAAATGCATTAAATATAGAAAAAAAAAGGAAGACTTTATTTTATAAATTAATTTTAAATAACATTAATAAGCTATTATGGTTTACTTGAAAAGGAATTAACCAACGTCCCAAGTTGAATATTTTTTAACCAGTTCATTCTAGTTGTATAATAAGAAAACCAATAAGATAATCAATATAAAACAGAAAAAAAAAACCCTTTTAATTATATAATATACTTATTTGCTGTCAGTGAAATCCCCAGAATTTATTTGGGGTAGGCTTCTTCCACTATTTTATTAGTCTGAAGTCATCTAACTTCGCTATTATATAGTTCAATACTGTCCCAACAAATTCTCATCTTATTTTACATTTATTTTTTCAAATACTATAATAAGACACACAACATTGATTTAGTCCACGAAAAGAACCGATAAAATTCGCCACATATTCTTTATAATTGTTATGACTCAAATTACATCAAGTAAAACAATAATGAATAATACATGAATATTTAAAGAAAATTTTACCATTATGAAAAAATTTGAGTTTTTAACTGTAAAGTGCCAAATTCTAGTGGTGGAATATTACTTTTCAAAACCTAATAAAAATCATAAAACTTTACTCGGTTTCTTGCAAAGACTGCAGAAAATGGCATTCAGATTCAAGTAGTATTCATGACTTGGTCCAAGTTTGACATTAAGAAGGTATAAGAGAGCTAGACACACTACAATTTTTATTCAAGAATTAATCTAAGATGGGTTCCTGTTCCTTTTTCCATTCATTGCTTCTGATTTTGTTCATTGCCATTTCCATCTTGGCCATGCACTCAGTTCCAGGGGCTGCAGGTTTGTAAATTAACTGATTTATGAAAGTTCAAGTCTCAGATAATATATACTTCATTTTCATTGATTTTGTCTCACAAATTAATTAATGGCGATTCAATTCGTATTATTTTACATGGTGTTTGAAAGAATTTTGGATTTTGCAGCTACGAAAATGAGGACAGTTATTCGTGCAACCCTGCCGAGCCCACCACCTCCTCCACCTCTGAACATCGCGCCTGTTCAATCCATATCACCTCTCGCACAAGGAATCTGATCCAAGCTATGAAGAAAACTCCATCTGGGAGCTGCCATGCCTTGTTATTTGTCTTCACCACTCTGATTCCTATATGATAATGTTAGATTCGTTTGGGTTTTTATAAACTTCAATTCTAAGCAATACAATAGTTTTTATGTTCAATAATGTTGCTGATAATATGGTATGACTCATCAATATTATTACAAAAGATTATAATGTAATTGATAATGAATTTCTCTTGGATGATCTTTATGGGTTTAAATAATTCTCAATTGTGATGGAGACAAGAATAATAAAATCTAAGATATACTAGACATTTCTCTAAAAGATCAATAAAGTATAATTAAATTAATAAAAAAAATTAATCAATTTGAGCACAACGTCNAACTCTTGAACTGTGTTCAATATAAATGTTTTGTGGTAGTAGCCAATTTTAGCTATTTTTTATTTAGCAAGTGTTGGATCTGTAGTTCTTTTACGTTAGGATGAATGTTTTAACATAACATTCTTAAACATTAAGCTCTGAAATTGTTGTAAATGACTAAACTTGAATCTCAACATTCATACTGTGTCCAAATGAAAATTAGAAAAGCCAATGTTGGAATGTCAATGTTCTTGGAATGTAACTAGATTCTTTGCTTCCTTCTCTCTATGAATGGCCTCTGTTTCTGCTTCCAAAATATATTACCATTCACTTTACTGTACATGAAATTTGTTTTATAGTCTAATAATATAATAGGATACTTTTGACAAGTTTGATACCGATAAGTGATCAAAAGAACATAATAGTGTCTCAATATTGTGGTTCTGCATATGGCTAATGATTTACAACGTGATGTTATCAATTTTATATCTAAACTAATGAATTTGATATGCTAGAGTGATCCCAATTGATTAGAACACTTTGTTGGTCATGTGTTTGTTATTCCCATCTAAAGGAACCAAAAGAAACATTCTAAAAATATTTAGTAAATTTTGCTAACAATGTGGATTCTTAAGTTACAAGTTTATTGACATCTATGTGATTATGTTGTGGAGAAGCTAACTTAGATGTGGCATTTCAGATCTCTGCATGACGTTTTGAAAGTTTCTTTTATTTGCTCTAGAAAATAATAGTACTAGTTTATGTACTGCAAAAGAACCCAGGAGCTAAGTTTGGTTTTATTGCTGGAGACGATGCGAACATGGAACTGTAAAAATTAATTCATAAGTCTTCATAGATTCAATTGAATGTAGTTGGCAAACTTATTTCACTAGCTCTATTGTAGAGCATATTTGTTAACAAAATATGCAGATTATAATTTCCTCAAGAATGTTGTCATTCATGAGGAAAAAATTGCTACGGTTTTGAAGCGCACGGGACGGGGACTTTTACTGGATTTAAGGAGTAAAAATTTTGGTCCAAATATAGCTTTTTTGAAAGATATTGGTGTTCCTCAATCTTGAATTTCTTATTTGGTGACTAATTATCCACCTGCAGGTCTAATTAATCTCTTTAGAGATAATAGGTTGAATTGCATCTCTAGATTCATCCATCTTCATTTCTTAGAGATAAGGAATAGTTGTGAAAATCTGATAGCTAGCCTGGAGCCTCAACAGACCAATTTGGTTTAAATATTGGGCTCCTTGGGCTTGATTTGTGCATATGATATCGCAGTCAGCAGAGTCCAGCCCCAGCATCAGCATCTATTATTAGAAATGTGACTATTGTTTGAAATGCAGAATTTAGGGTTTAATCATCCATGTTATCAAAATTATAGGCAATGAATGAACACTAAACCCCAAAATTGGATCAATAATTGGAGGTTGAGTTACCTTTTATGTCTAATACATGTTCTACATGTGATAACAAAAGGGAGAATATTATGAATAAAAACTAAAATTAAAGATGAACATGCCAAGGGTTGACGGTTGTATTGTGAAGAGTTGGGGAGGTTTTTGTTTTTGGATACTTTTGAACCTAACCCAGGGCATGTCCTGTGGTAGGTGAGTTTCTTTGTATTCTTTGATCTTTGCTGGGTTCCATTTATTTGACAAGAGGAATAGAAAAAAGAAAAGATTTGAAGTTAGTCTTAGATAATATCATTCTTTTGCTCTTGAGTTAGGTTAGTTGGCTTTAGGCCTCTTATACATTCTTTCTTCCTTTCTATAGAAAGTTTATTTAGCCAAAAAAATGAGTTGACGGATTTAGTGTTGACAAATGATTAAAGCATCTCCAACATTGATTCCTTAAAACCAACTATAAAACCGATCTCATAAAATTAAATTAGGCGGGAAGACTTTAGACAGCAGTAACTTTGGTCAACATTAAAAAGAAATAATACAAATATTTCTTCCCATTACCATAAAAATTACAACAAACTTCGCATGAGAAATGAAATTTCTGGTTTTATTTTTTCATTATGGGCGTAAAACCAAGGCACGTCTATAATACAAATAATTGAGATACTAAGTTGTTCCAACATCATTCAGATACATCCTTCATAGTAATCCTTTGCTCAGGTGATTCCTTTGAACAATCCGTAGCCAATTCCATAATGCTTGACAGACATTCCTTTTGGCACCAAAACCTTGCTCTTCTTGCAGCAAATTGACATCCACAACTTCAGTCACTGCATGAGGCAATGAAATTTCCACCTAATTCTTTAAACTCGTTTCTCTACCAAACATTTCATCTGTTGGCTTCTTTCTGGTAAAAGCTTCCATTAATAAAATGCCATAGCTGTAGACATCACCTTTTGAAGAAATAATTCCCACCGATCCGTATTCTGCAAGATAAATAAAAAAAAATCTAGTAATCATAAACATAATTTGTGTATGAAATAGAAATTTGAAAGTTTGACTTAAATCATCACCTGGTGCCATATAACCAATAGTTGCCATAGTCACGGTTTGTGTTATTGACATTTCATCGCCTAGGAGTTCGGCAATGATAAAATCGCTCACATGAGCAACCATATTTTCGTCCAACAAAATATTATTGGGCTTTAGATCACAATGGATGATAGGTCTTGAATGATCGTGATGAAGATATTCAAAAGCCAATGCAACATCTATCATTATATCTAACCTCTCTAGCATGTTTAGAAAGTTATTGTGAGAATACAACCACTTCTCAAGATTACCATTAGGCATGAATTCAAGTACAAGGCCTTTGAAATCAATACTGCAGAAGCTGCTAAATATTTTTACCAGATTCCTATGACGAATATTGCGCAATACTTTAACATTCCAAATCAAAACTCTTAAATGCTTTCTCTTGGTGCAGATTAAAAACTTTTATTGCAACATTTGTGCCATCTGAAAGTATCCCTTTGTATACTAAGCAAGTTGCTTTCATTAAACCCATTTGTTGCTCGTTGAATTTCTAGATATGAAGTTCTTGCCCATGTAGCTAGAGGTAACAAATCTTCCCGAGTCGAAGAATTTTCACTGCTATATCGACACCTTATAAAGTTGATGATTACCACCACTACAAATATAATCAATAGGATTGGAGGTAAAATAAATATCAACATAATTTTAGTTGTTGTGTTACCTCGTTTGCAAGATGGAACTTGTAGTCGTGGGGAACCACATAGTGCAGAATTCTACATAAATGATTCAGTTGAGAAGTTTTTGAAAGGTCCTTTGTCAGGAATTTCCCCTTCTAACTTATTGTGAGACACATTAAAATGCTTAAAATATAAGAGTGCCTCCAACGACTTCGGAATTTCTCCAGTGAGATTGTTATTAGACAGATCCAAAGATTCCAAGCTCCTCAGAGTGTCGAATGTGTTAGGGATGGAGCCTTCAAATCTATTATACGCCAAAGATAGAGTAACTAGATTTATAAGGCTTCCCATTGTGACTGGTATCTCACCGGATAATTGATTCCTTGATAGATTTATCAAGACCCTCAAATTTTGTATATCTAAAGGAAGAGAACCAGTTAAAGAATATGATGACAAGTTTACATACAAGATATTTCTGAGATTCCATATGGATGCCGGTATGTACAAAGTGAATTTGTTGGAGCCCAATTGTAGATTTCTTAGAGAAACCAAACTTTCCAAGCAAGTGGGTAACCCAGAGAGCTTATTATCAGTTAATTGTAAGTCAATCAAGCTCTTTAATTGGCAAACTTCATATGGGATGGATCCCTGTAAATTACTATTTTGGAGGAATAAACCTTGGAGATTCCATAATCTTTCCACCGTTGTTGGAATAGATCCATTCAAGTCATTATATGAAAGGTCTAAAAGTATGAGACCGTGTAAGTTTCCAATTTCTGAAGGAACGTTTCCCATAAGTTTGCAATTAGGTGCGTCGAACTTTTGGAGAGATGTAGAGAAATTTCCAATTGAAGTCGGAAGGATGCCACTCAATGGATTATTTCCCAAGTTCAGAACTTGTAGTTCTCTGCAGTTTGTCAAAGAAGAGAGAAAGTCCCATTCTTCATCAGCAGTCAAGTTATTATCCTGAAGGTTAAGCACATTGATGAACTTCAAGTTGCCAAGTGTATTTGGAATGAGGCCAGAGAGAGTTTGAGCTTAAATCTAGGTAAGTGAGCTGGGAAGCATTGGAAATGGAATTGGGGATTGTTCCATCAAGTTTATTTTCAGCTAGAAAAAGATCGGTGAGCTTCGGGAGCCAGCCAATATTTGATGGTAGAGAGCCCGAGAGGTCATTGTAATTTATATTAATGCCTCTTATGGTTGGAATGTTGAAGATTGTGTGAGGAATCTGACCAGTTAAGCTATTATTGTCGAGATTTATGTACAGTAGATTTTGTAGATTACCAATTCCAGACGGTATTTCACCTGGCAGAGTACAAGTATTGATGCATAAGGTTTGGCTATAAAGTACGGCTTACTTCCTCTGTTATTTTAATATGTATTGCTAGATGACATAAAGAAAAAGAATATTCAGAAAACTATAAGGATATAATTTTGCAAAAGAGGAGTAATCTGTAAATATAAAATATGCTTTGAAGAATCCAAGGAGAAAATTGCATACCTTGTAGGTTGTTGTCCTGAAGATACAAGCCTAGAAGCCCAATCAAATTTCCAGTGTTTGCTGGTATGCACCCTCTGAAATGATTAGAAGGCAATAATAAATCAATGAGCCCGGTGCAGTCACCTAAACTGGGAGGAAGTTGGCCAGTTAATACATTCGACGATAAAAAAAAGTCTTTCAATTTTCGGAAGACGATGATACAGATCCTCCGGCAGACTCCCAGATAAGCTATTGGAATCTAAATCAAGAGTCCTTAGTGAAGAAATATTGTAGATTGTAAAAGGAATGGAACCTGTAAGACGGTTGTTTCTCAAAAACAATTCTTTCAGATTGAGAAGCTTCCCAATCTTAGATGGAATATAATAGGATACTTTTGACAAGATTGATACCAATAAGTGATCAAAAGAATATAACAGTATCTCAATATTGTGGTTCTCATATGGCTATTGATTTACAATATGATATTATCAATTTTATATCTGAACTAATGAATTTGATATGCTTGAGTGATCCCAATTGATTAGAACACTTTGTTGGTCATGTATTTATTTATTCCCATCTAAAGGAACCAAAAGAAACGTTCTAAAAATATTTAGTAAATTTTGCTAATAACGTGGATTCTTAAGTTACAAGTTTATTGAAATCTATGTGATTATGTTGTGGAGAAGCTAACTTGGATGCGGCATTTCAGATCCCTGCATGACGTTTTGAAAGTTTCAATCAATTTTGATAATAGCCGGAGATGATGCGAACATGGAACTCTAACAATCAATTCATAAGTCTTCATAGATTCAATTGAATGGAAATGGAGCCTTGCATGTAGTTGGCAAACTAGCTCTATGGCAGAGCATGTTTGTTAACAAAATATGCAGATTATAATTTCCTCAGGAATGTTGTCATTCATGATGAAAAAATTGTTGCAGTTTTGAAGCGGATGGGACGGGGACTTTTACTGGATTTAAGGAGTAAAAATTTTGGTCCAAATATAGCTCTTTTGAAAGATTCTGGTGTGCCTGAATCTTGAATTTCTCATTTGGTGACTAATTATCCACCTGCAGGTTCAGATATTGGGCCCCTTGGGCTTGATTTGTGCATATGATATCACAATCAATAGAGTCCGGCCCCAACATCAGCATGTATAACTAGGAATGCCACTATTGTTTGAAATGCAAAATTTAGGGTTTAATCATCCATGTTATCAAAATTATAGGCAATGAATGAACAATAAACCCCAAAATTGGATCAATAATTTTGGAGGTTGACTTATCTTATATGTCTAAAACATGTTCTACATGTGATAACAGAAGGGAGAATATTATGAATAAAAACTAAAATTAAAGATGAACATGTTGAAGTGATAAATAAAATCATATTCGTAGATTATAAATAAACCAGTTTGGTTGGATTCTTTATATTATAAAAAACTACTAAAAAATTTTATTATTCCTTTGCTTGCTAGCTACTAGATTGTGTAAAACATAATAATATAAGATCTAGAACTGATTTATTTATTGAAATGATGACAGAGAATCGTGTAACCCATCATGTGATTATGAATTAAAATTAATTAACTGAAGGAATAGCAGACCTTGATAATTGAATATCTTTTCCTTTATATAAATAACAAAATGTAAGTACATACAAGAATAAGCATAAATTATATGTGAGAATTTTCAGTCTAACCTGAGTTGATTATATGTAAGATTCAAACTAAATTTAATTTAATGTCTGATAATTTAGATCTAATCCCAGTTAATTAATNACTATATATCTCGAGGGTTTAGAGTATATAGGGTAACAGCAAGGGGGATTTCATTTGAAAATAGTAGTATATAGGGTATCACAAATCAACAACTTCAAAATTTTAAAACTTCATTGGGTGTTCACCGATTAAAAATTGATAAGAATAATACTATTCTTCTCAAATGAAATTCCAAATTTTCCATCCAAATAATGTATTGATAAATATGTAATAATGTAAACTTGTTTACTCAATAAAGTGATAAACAAAACATTAAAATACAACATTTATTTTTTATTCTAACCATTCATTTTAATGCCAAATATAGCATTTATTATCTATTTCATAACATCATAATCCTGCTCATGTTAGGGTCCTCCAAAGATACATATATAAAAATGGAAAAAAAAAAAAATCAGTCAGAACTTTTTTAAATAAAAATTCGTGATTTTGACCAGTGGGAATAGAAAGACACTAACGTATTGACACTAATGAGTAATGACAGAACTAGAGTTTATTTTATACCAAAATGGAATATATTATGGGATTAGGTAAGAATCATAACACCAAAACCATTTATTTAATGATTTAAGAAGCTTTTCATAATGGGAAAGCTGACTTGGTTTGGCAGCTCGTGACTTCTATATAATTAATTGAAGTGAAGCAAAAATAGTCAGAATTTTGGTTTAGAGTTGACGATGAACTTCAATTTAACTTCCCTCTTCTCTCCTCTCATTCTCCTCTTACTGATTATGGCTTCCTTGGTGAGCTTGCACTCAGCCCCAGTTAGTGCAGGTTCGAATTCTGAAACTTTTTTTTTTTCTTTTATATATAAAAAAATTCTTTGTTAGAATAATTGAAATTTATATTTATCTATGATTTGTTGAGAATCTTTTTTTTCCTAAAAAGTAAAAAATAAAAGATAAATAATTGAAAGTGAATTTTGAATATGTGAAGATGGGCTTTTGCAGATATGGGTCTAAGAAAACTGGGGAGGGTGATGCCAAGTCCACCTCCTCCTCCAATTCCACAGAGGAAGAAACATCACATCCCACCTGAGGCACCACCTTTTTAATTTTGAAATTTCTGAATTTTGTATACTTTTATTTCCATCAAAATTAATTGTCCCTCACAAAACAATAATTTTGTTTGAATAAAAATGGACTTTGTCGTATCATGGAATTGCATAAATTTTCTTTTTTTATTTTTACTTCCTTTGAATATCAATGGTTCATACAGTGATTTACATCAATGAGAAGTAAGTAGGTTTCAAGATGGGTTCTACTCAAGAGATTGTAGGGAATCCATGATTCTAGTGCAGGATTAATTAATGAATGAATAGCATAAACAAAAGCACATATTCAAAATTTTTAAAGTGGTTCGAATATTAAATATAAATTCTACATCTATAGCTTTTTGTAGTTTTTTACACATAAGTACAGCTTATAAAAGTATTAATAAAAAGATCTCCTAATTAGGATAGAAAATCAGCTTATATATTGTTACAATGGTAAACCTGCAAATAAAATTAACTTAAAAAAGAATAACACGTGGCATGAATCTGCACTCCGGGATCCACCGCACAACATTTATAATCTATTATGGAAATCAATGACTATGATAAAATCTGAGATAATCTTCCTAAAGATCAGCTTCAATCTTCCCAAATACCAAACAAAGTGTTACTTGAGTCAAACCTCAAGAATATAATTATTAGGGAAGTGATTTTTAGCCCCATCAAATTGTTCAACTTCTCCACTTCTAAATGTATTTTTAGTTTGACAGGTTTAATTTTAATGACATAATAATCTCTAAATATCCTCATTCTTTATTTTATATTTTTGTTTAAATTTTTAAACTTTAATTCTTACATAAACCCTATCTAAATTTTCTAAATTATTTCATTTCAAATAATTATTTGTTTGATGAAAATATATTACTAGTGTTATGGAGAAAGTACCCATACAATGTGATGAATTTGAAGAAGAAAAAAATAAGTTTCAAATTTTAAATTTGGAAACAAAAAAACTAATTAAAAAATAGGGAAAAAGGTGATGTAAAAATAAAAAAAAAAAAAAAAAAACTCTAATTAAGTTTGAAACTGGAGAAACGTGGTCTAATAAAAAGCCCTAATTAAGTTAGAAATTGAGAAAAGTGATGTCATCAAAAACCCTAATTAAGTTTGAAATTGGAAAAAAAAAAAAAAGATACAAATCAAAATCCTAATTTAGTAGGGTTATTTTCGGCATTAAATGGGGTTTAAAAAATATATATATATAATGGAGGTGTATTTATTAACGACGGATAGTGATCAGTTTAATGAGAGCTAAAATTAGTTCCCTATTTATTATTGGGAAGTGACTTTTAGCTCCCATCTAATTGTTTAAATTTTTAAATTTTAATTTTTACATAAACCCTATCTAAATTTTCTAAATAATTTTATTTCAAATAATTATTTGTTTGATGAAAATATATTACTAGTGTTATGGAGAAAGTAACCATACAATGTGATGAATTTGAAGAAGAAAAAAATAAGTTTCAAATTTTAAATTTGGGAAACAAAAAAACTAATTAAAAAATAGGGAAAAAGATCAATCTGTTATCCTCAAGGTTAAGCCAGTGATGAACTTCAAGTTGCCAAGTGTTTTGGAATAAGGCCAGAGAAAGAATTTGAGCTTAGCTCAAGGTAAGTAAGTTGGGAAGCATTGGAAATGGAATCGGGATCGTTCCATCAAGTTTATTTTCGGCCAGAAAAAGATCCGTGAGGTCCGGGAGCCAGCCAATATTTGATGGAAGAGGGCCCGAGAGGTCGTTGTAATTTATTTAATGCCTCTTATGGTTGATATTTGAATTGTGGTGCGGAATCTGACCAGTTAAGCTATTATTGTCAAGATTATGAACAGTAGATTTTGTAGTTATCCCACACTCCACTATATCACCACATAATCAGGTCTAGACTAGCAAAGTACACATATTTCCTCTGTTTATATTATTGTATTGCGAGATGTAATATAAAAAAACAATTATTTATAAAAATAAGGACACAATTTTGCAGCAGAGGAATCAAGGTGAAGATTGCATACCTTGTAGGTTGTTATCCTGAAGATACAACCCAGAAGCCCGGTTAAATTTCCAATTTTTCTGGTATGCGTCCTGTGAAATGATTAGAAGGCAATAATAAGCCGATGAGCTCGGTGCAGTCACCTAAACTTGCGGAAGTTGGCCAGTTAATCCTTCGACGATAGAAAAAGCCTTCAAGTTTCGGAGACGATTACACAGATCCTCCGGCAGACTCCCCGATAGGCTATTAGAATCTAAATCAAGAGCTTAGCGAAGAAATGTTGTAGATTGTAGAAGGAATGGGACCTGTAAGGAGGTTGTCTCTCAAATACAACTCTTCAAATTGAGAAGCTTTCCAATCTCAGATGGAATATTTCCTTCAATAAAATTGAACTTGACCACAAGATCTCCAGCTTTGATAAGTTGAAGAGAGATTGCGAGAAGGGTGCCCGTAAAATTGTTATTATAAAAACCCAAGAAGGTGAGTTCGGATAAGCTTCCAATCCAGGAAGGAAAGTCTCCGCTTAATTTGTTATTCATTGAAGTAGTTCTCAGTCGACGTAATTTTCCCAGTTGATTGGAAGAGGGCCACTGAAATTGTTGTTGCCAAGATCCAGATATACGAGGAGAGAGATTTCCGAGATGTGGAGAATGGATCTTCCAGAGCCATATGGGAAAGATTCAAAGCTGTGACTCTTCCATGGCGAGCACCGCAAGAACGCCAACCCAGTGGCACACTGGAATAGAAATTGACCAATTATTTGCCAACACACTGTGGGAGTGACAACTGTGATTTGAAAGCAACAGACAGATAGATCCGTCGTTATGTTTCTTGGAGTCGTAGCTAAACTAGCCATGAAACATTGTAAACAACATTGAACAAAATTGAAGCACATGATAATGACATTCTCCATTGAAATCACGAAACTAACAATGGCAATGGCAATATAACCGGACTTCTTTTAAGTCTACGATCAGATAGATATACGTAAGTTACAATGGAAAAAATAGGAGTTCGAAGTCCGTGACTGACAATTTCTCAGCAACGTCCAGCACAGCTTGTTCTGAAGTGACAGGTCAATATGTGTGGCGATTAGTGACAAAAATGTCAAAGCTTGACTTACAATTTGATCATCAATTCAATTGTCCATAAATTCCTGCAATGCTTATCAACTCTCATGACCCTACTGTCCATTGTCCAAATCTTTGCCGCCGGCCTAATAATGCATCTCTTTAACACCCCTTCCACTCCGCCATCTCTCCTACTTAGTAATAATGACGGAAAATTCAACTGAACAGGAATTGTTTATATTTAATTGCTGATGCTATAGACAATTTGATTTAATTTATAAGTTAGAAATCATTTGATATTTCATCAAAGAAAGAATTTTACTTTTAAAAATAATAAAAGTTAATGACTTTTTTCCAAGAAGGTCGCCTTTTGTTTTCTGAAATTTATATCATATTTGGATTCAATTATAAATTGAAACGAATCAAGCAAGTGATTTTTTTTTTTTTTTTAGACTATTATCTCGAGGGTTTAAGTATTAGGGTAACAGCAAGGGGGATTTCATTTGAAAATAGTAGTATAGGTTCGTGTTTGACATTTAAAAAATATATTGCAAAGATTTCAAGTATACCATTAACCCAAAATGACCGCCAATATGTGGAATAAGAGACAAAGACTTTAGCATGCTAGAAATTGGTAGCCCCTCGCTAACATTAACGCTGAAAATGAAACTTCAAATTTCCACAGAGGTAGGTATATCATTGGTAGGCAAAACAGAAAAAGAAGAAAAACCAAATTAGCTTAAAGATAACAAAACATTGTACCAGAATCCAGTCCTGACCTGATTCTTACCTGACCATTAACATAAAATTCAGGATAAATTTTGTATCAGAAAAGAAATTTCTGCTTTTATTTTTCATTATGGGCATAAAAGCAAGGCAAGAACTTCTCATTATATACAATACAAATAACTGAGACATTAATTAAGTTGTTCCAATACCATTCAGATACTTTTCTTTAATCTTCTTGAGTTTTACTACGGCACTCTTCATAGTAATCCTCTGTTCAGGTGATTCCTTTGAACAATCCATAGCCAATTCCATAATGCTTGACAGACATTCAATTTTGGCACCAAAACCTGTCTCTTCTTGCAGCAAATTAGCATCCACTACTTCAGTCACTGCATGAGGCAATGAATTTTCCACCCAATTCTTTAAGCTCATTTCTCCACTAAACATTTCATCTGTTGGCTTCTTTCTAGCGAAAGTTTCCATTAATAAAATGCCATAACTGTAGACATCACCTTTTGTAGAAACAATTCCCACTGATCCGTACTCTGCAAGATAAATAAAAATATCTAGCAATTATAAACATAATTTATATGTGTGAAATAGGAATTTGAAAGTTCGAGTTAAAACATCACCTGGTGCCATATAACCAACAGTTGCCATAGTCATGGTTTGTGTCATTGAATTTTCATCTCCTAGGAGTTTGGCAATGCCAAAATCGCTCACACGAGCAACCATATTTTCATCCAATAAGATATTGTTAGGCTTTAAATCACAATGAATCACAGGTGTTGAATGATCGTGATGAAGATATTCAAAAGCCGATGCGACATCTATCATTATATCCAACCTCTCTAGTATGTTTAGAAAATTATTGTGAGAATACAACCACTTCTCAAGATTACCATTAGGCATGAATTCAAGTACCAGGCCTTTAAAATCAATATTGCAGCAGCTGCTAAATATTTTTACCAGATTCCTATGACGGATATTGCGCAACACTTCACATTCTGAATCAAAACTCTTAAATGCTTTTTCTAGTTGCAAATTAAAAACTTTTATTGCAACATTTGTGCCATCTGAAAGTATCCCTTTGTATACTGAGCCAAAGCCACCTATACCGAGCAAGTTGCTTTCATTAAACCCATCTGTTGCTCGTTGAATTTCTAGATATGAAGTTCTTGCCCACGTAGCTAGAGGTAACAAATCTTCCTGAGTCGAAGAATTTTCACTCCTGTATCGACACCTTATAAAGCTGATGATTACCACCACTACCAATATAATCAACAGGATTGGAGGTAAAATAAATTTTAACACAATTTTAGTTGTTGTGTTCGATCGCTTGATAGTGTCCTTCTTGCAAGGTGCAACTTGTAGTCGTGGCGAACCACAGAGTGCATAATTCCCAATAAATGATTCAGCTGAGAAGTTTTTGAAAGGTCCTTTGTTAGGAATTTCCCCTTCTAACCTATTGTGAGACACATTAAAATGCTTAAGATATAGGAGTGCCTCCAACGACTTCGGAATTTCTCCAGTGAGATTGTTATTAGACAGATCCAAAGATTCCAAGCTCGTCATAGTGTTGAATGTGTTAGGGATGGAGCCTTCAAATCTATTAGATGTCAAAGCTAGAGTAACTAGATTTTTAAGGCCTCCCATGGTAACCGGTATCTCACCAAATAATTGATTCCTTGATAAATCTAGATCTATCAAGACCCCCAAATTTTGTATATCTAAAGGGAGAGAACCAGTTAAAGAATTTGATGACAAGTTTACCTGCAAGATATATGTAAGATTCCATAAGGATGCTGGTATGTTTGAAGTGAATTTGTTGGAGCCCAGGTGTAGATTTCTTAGAGAAACCAAACTTCCCAAGCAAGTGGGTATTTGTCCAGAGAGCTTATTATCATTTAACAGTAAGTCAATCAAGCTATTCAATTGGCAAACTTCATATGGGATGGATCCCTGCAGATTAGTATTATGGATGGACAAACCTTGGAGATTCCTTAATCGTTCCACTGTTGTTGGAATAGATCCATTCAAATCATTATATGCAAGGTCTAAAAGTATCAGACCTTGTAAGTTTCCAATTTCTGAAGGAATGTTTCCCATAAGTTTGCAATTAGATGCATCAAACTTTTGGAGAGATGTGGTGAAATTCCCAATTGAAGGGGGAAGGATGCCACTCAATGGATTTTTTCCCAAGTTTAGAACTCTTAGTTCTCTGCAGTTTGTCAAAGACTCAAGAAAGTTCCATTCTTCAGTGGCGATCAAGTTGTTATCCTCAAGGTTAAGCACAGTGATGAACTTCAAGTTGCCAAGTGTATTTGGAATAAGGCCAGAGAAAGAATTTGAGCTTAGCTCAAGGTAAGTAAGTTGGGAAGCATTGGAAATGGAATCGGGGATCGTTCCATCAAGTTTATTTTCGGCCAGAAAAAGATCCGTGAGGTCCGGAAGCCAGCCAATATTTGATGGAAGAGGGCCCGAGAGGTCGTTGTAATTTATATTAATGCCTCTTATGGTTGATATGTTGAAGATTGTGTGAGGAATCTGACCAGTTAAGCTATTATTGTCAAGATTTATGAACAGTAGATTTTGTAGTTTACCAATTCCCGACGGTATTTCACCTGACAGAATACAAACATCGACCCATAAGGCTTTGGCTATGAAGTACAGCATATTTCCTCTGTTATTTTAATATGTATTGCGAGATGTAATAAATTAAAAAAAAAATGATTTAGAAAAATAACGACACAATTTTGCAGCAGAGGAATCAAGGTGAAAATTGCATACCTTGTAGGTTGTTATCCTGAAGATACAAACCCAGAAGCCCGGTTAAATTTCCAATATTTTCTGGTATGCGTCCTGTGAAATGATTAGAAGGCAATAATAAGCCGATGAGCTCGGTGCAGTCACCTAAACTTGGCGGAAGTTGGCCAGTTAATCCATTCGACGATAGAAAAAGCCTTTCAAGTTTCGGAAGACGATTACACAGATCCTCCGGCAGACTCCCCGATAGGCTATTAGAATCTAAATCAAGAGTCTTTAGCGAAGAAATGTTGTAGATTGTAGAAGGAATGGGACCTGTAAGGAGGTTGTCTCTCAAATACAACTCTTTCAAATTGAGAAGCTTTCCAATCTCAGATGGAATATTTCCTTCAATAAAATTGTAACTTGACCACAAGATCTCCAGCTTTGATAAGTTGAAGAGAGATTGCGAGAAGGTGCCCGTAAAAGTGTTATTATAAAAACCCAAGAAGGTGAGTTCGGATAAGCTTCCAATCCAGGAAGGAAAGTCTCCGCTTAATTTGTTATTATTCAAGTTGAAGTATCTCAGTCGACGTAATTTTCCCAGTTGATTGGGAAGAGGGCCACTGAAATTGTTGTTGCCAAGATCCAGATATACGAGGAATGAGAGATTTCCGAGATGTGGAGGAATGGATCTTCCAAGAGCCATATGGGAAAGATTCAAAGCTGTGACTCTTCCATGGCGAGCACCGCAAGAAACGCCAACCCAGTTGCACACTGGAATAGAAATTGACCAATTATTTGCCAACACACTGTGAGGAGTGACAACATGTGATTTGAAAGCAAGCAGAGCAGATAGATCCGTCGTTATGTTTCTTGGAGTCGTAGCTAAACTAGCCATGAAACATTGTAGAAACAACAGTGAAACAAAATTGAAGCACATGATAATGACATTCTCCATTGAAATGCACGAAAATAAACAATGGCAATGGCAATATAACCGGACTTCTTTTAAGTCTACGATCAGATAGATATACGTGAAGTTACAATGGAAAAAATAGGAGTTCGAAGTCCGTGACTGACAATTTCTCAGCAACGTCCAGCACAGCTTGTTCTGAAGTGACAGGGTCAATAATGTGTGGCGATTAGTGACAAAAATGTCAAAGCTTGACTTACAATTTGATCATCAATTCAATTGTCTCATAAATTCCTGCAATGCTTATCAACTCTCATGACCCTACTGTCCATTGTCCAAATCTTTGCCGCCGGCCTAATAAATGCATCTCTTTAACACCCCTTCCACTCCGCCATCTCTCCTACTTAGTAATAATGACGGAAAATTCAACTGAACAGGGAATTGTTTATATTTAATTGCTGGATGCGTATAGACAATTTTGATTTAATTATATAAGTTAGAAATCATTTGATATTTCATCAAAGAAAGAATTTTACTTTTAAAAATAATAAAAGTTAATGACTTTTTTCCAAGAAGGATCGCCTTTTGTTTTCTGAAATTTATATCATATTTGGATTCAATTATAAATTGAAACGAATCAAGCAAGTGATTTTTTTTTTTTTTTTTAGACTATATATCTCGAGGGTTTAGAGTATATAGGGTAACAGCAAGGGGGATTTCATTTGAAAATAGTAGTATATAGGGTATCACAAATCAACAACTTCAAAATTTTATTACTTCAATGGGTGTTCACCGATTCAAAATTGATAAGAGTAATCCTATTCTTCCCAAATGAAATTCCAAATTTTCCATCCAAATTATGTATTGATAAATATGTAATAATGTAAACTTGTTTACTCAATAAACCAAACATTAAAATACAACATTTATTTTTTATTCTAACCATTCATTTTAATGCCAAATATAGCATTTATTATCTATTTCATAACATCATAATCCTGCTCATGTAAGGGTCCTCCAAAGATACATATATACAAATGGAAAGAAAAAAAAAATCAGTCAGAACTTTTTTAAATAAAAATTCGTGATTTTGACCAGTGGGAATAGAAAGACACTAACGTATTGACACTAATGAGTAATGACAGAACTAGAGTTTATTTTATACCAAAATGGAATATATTATGGGATTGGGTAAGAATCATAACACCAAAACCATTTATTTAATGATTTAAGAAGCTTTTAATAATGGGAAATCTGACTTGGTTTGGCAGCTCGTGACTTCTATATAATTAATTGAAGTGAAGCAAAAATAGTCAGAATTTTGGTTTAGAGTTGACGATGAACTTCAATTTAACTTCCCTCTTCTCTCCTCTCATTCTCCTCTTACTGATTATGGCTTCCTTGGTGAGCTTGCACTCAGCCCCAGTTAGTGCAGGTTCGAATTCTGAAACTTTTTTTTTTTCTTTTATATATAAAAAAATTCTTTGTTAGAATAATTGAAATTTATATTTATCTATGATTTGTTGAGAATCTTTTTTTTCCTAAAAAGTAAAAAATAAAAGATAAATAATTGAAAGTGAATTTTGAATATGTGAAGATGGGCTTTTGCAGATATGGGTCTAAGAAAACTGGGGAGGGTGATGCCAAGTCCACCTCCTCCTCCAATTCCACAGAGGAAGAAACATCACATCCCACCTGAGGCACCACCTTTTTAATTTTGAAATTTCTGAATTTTGTATACTTTTATTTCCATCAAAATTAATTGTCCCTCACAAAACAATAATTTTGTTTGAATAAAAATGGACTTTGTCGTATCATGGAATTGCATAAATTTTCTTTTTTTATTTTTACTTCCTTTGAATATCAATGGTTCATACAGTGATTTACATCAATGAGAAGTAAGTAGGTTTCAAGATGGGTTCTACTCAAGAGATTGTAGGGAATCCATGATTCTAGTGCAGGATTAATTAATGAATGAATAGCATAAACAAAAGCACATATTCAAAATTTTTAAAGTGGTTCGAATATTAAATATAAATTCTACATCTATAGCTTTTTGTAGTTTTTTACACATAAGTACAGCTTATAAAAGTATTAATAAAAAGATCTCCTAATTAGGATAGAAAATCAGCTTATATATTGTTATAATGGTAAACCTGTAAATACAATTAACTTGAAAAAGAATAACACGTGGCATGAATCTGCACTCCCGGATCCACCGCACAACATCTATAATCTATTATGGAAATCAATCACTATGATAAAATCTCAGATAATCTTCCTAAAGATCAGCTTTAATCTCTGCGATAATGTGTCAACACAGTAGCAAACTTAACAAATAGACAACATCTTAGGAGTCTTGGCAGCCCAACATTGTACATTTTCCTGCCCAGTAGCCCCAAATCCAAGAATCTTAAAAAATAAAATATGCTTTTGACTGCCACAGGGAAAATAACAAGTTCATTCCTAAGGCTTTGCTCAAGTCCCTTTAGTCTTGTAGAAGTTTCTAATGACCATTTAGTCCCTATCAGAGTGTCAGTAACATTTTTAATCCAGTCAATAGCAAATCTCAAGGGACCAAAATGCTACTGACAGTGACCCAAATGCCAAACTAAAGTGTTACTTAAGTCAAACCTCAAGAATATAATCATTAGGGAAGTGATTTTTAGCCCCATCAAATTGATCAACCTCTCCACTTTTAAATGTATTTTCAGTTTGACAAGTTTAATTTTAATGACATAATAATCTCAGAGTCTATTTGGTCTATTATTATGGTAGTTTTGAGAATAATATTTTGAAAAAAGTTAAAGTGGATGGGTATTACGATGTAAGATTTAAAAATTAATAAAATACCCCCTATATTTATTTATTTACTAAACATCTCTATAATAAAATATTAAAAGTTAACAAAAACACCCCCAACACCCATTAAATATTGACAGCTGGCCACCACCACCGGAGGGTGGCCGGGGTGTTTTTACAATTTCTAAAAAAAAAATTGGGAGTGTTTAGTTAAATTAACAAATTTAGGGGGGTTTAATGAATTGAATAATATAGAAAAATATTGTGAGAATAAGTCAATTTTACTGTTTAACTTTATTGAGAAAAATCAGAATAATATTCGGAAGAGTGAAACAAATGGAGCCTTATCCTCATTCTTTATTTTATATTTTTGTTTAAATTTTTAAACTTTAATTCTTACATAAACCCTATCTAAATTTTCTAAATTATTTTATTTCAAATAATTATTTGTTTGATGAAAATATATTACTAGTGTTACGGAGAAAGTAACCATACAATGTGATGAATTTGAGGGAGAAAAAAATAAGTTTCAAATTTTAAATTTGGGAAACAAAAAAAACTGATTAAAAAATAGGGAAAAGGTAACGAAAAAAAAAAAAAAAAACTCTAATTAAGTTTGAAATTGGGGAAACGCGGTCTAATAAAAAGCCCTAATTAAGTTAGAAATTGAGAAAAGTGGTGTCATCAAAAACCCTAATTAAGTTTGAAATTGGAAAAAAAAATATACAAATCAAAATCCTAATTAAGTAGGGTTATTTTCGGCATTAAATGGGGTTTAATTTTTTTTTTTTTTAATATAATAGAGGTGTATTTATTGACGACGGATAGTGATCAGTTTAATGAGAGCTAAAAATTAGTTCCCTAATTATTATTGGGAAGTGACTTTTAGCTCCCATCTAATTGACCACCCCGCACCCCCACCCCGCCAATTTTTTTTAAATATAAGAGGTGTATTTATTAACGAAGGACAGTGATCAGTTTAATGAGAGCTAAAAATCAGTTCCCTAATTATTATTGGGAAAGTGACTTTTAGCTCCCATCTAATTGGACCAAACAACTACCTCTCTCTCCCCCCTCCCTTTCTTGTTTTGACAAATTTAACATTAATTTAATTATTAGAAATAACATCATAATTCTAAATACATTCATACTTTATTTTACATTTTTGTTTCAATTTTTAACATTGAATTACATAAACTGTAACACTAAATTTTAATGACCTAATCCTAAATTTCCATAATTATTGAAACATTTTGTTTTATTTTAAATATTTGTTTGCTTGATAAAAATATAATACTAAAACTATGAAAAACATAACAAGATGAATTTGAATCTAAAGAAGAGAAATAAGTTGAAAATAGGAAATTGGGGGGAAAATGTGTTAAAAAAAAAAACTAATTAAGTTTGATTTGGGTAAAAAAGGTGTTAAAAAGAAAAACTTACGTAAGTTTTAAATTGCGAAAAAAAAACCCAATACTTAAGTTTTAAATTGCGAAAAAAAAACCCAATTAAGCTTAAAGGGTTATTTTAGGTATTAAATGAGGTTCAAAGAGTTTATTTATTTATTTATTTATTTTAAATTATAAAAGAAGTGTACTTAGTTTTGGGGCCTGAAGATCAATTTGATGAGGGTTAAAAATCACTTCCCTTATTATTGTCTCATTGCCACGGTGTTGTGACCTCACGAGCCCGTACCCATTAATACATACGTATAAAAAACACTATTTACAAATAAGGTGCTTGTTAATTATTCAAAAAGTAATACTACACCCACAATTTTTTTATACAAATTTTCTCTTACAAACTTACGTGACAAAAGATGATTGAGTGAAAAATTATTTTAAATTTAAAATCACTCGATCATCTTTTGCCACATAAGTTTATGAAAAAAAATTTGTATAAAAATATTCTGGGTGTATTATTATTCAAAAGAGTAGCACTACACTTACAATTTTTTTCATACAATTCAGATGTAGCAACTCACGATTGGTTAACTCGCAATGGATCATATTTGCTTAAATGTAAACTAACTAATCACGAAATGTCACCTTAAAATTAGTAGCAAGGTACATCTCCACCCATGATAAAATTGGAATATTTATTACTTTTGNAGGGTTTATGTAAGAATTAAAGTTTAAAAATTTAAACAAAAATATAAAATAAAGAATGAGGATATTTAGAGATTATTATGTCATTAAAATTAAACTTGTCAAGCTAAAATTACATTTAAAAGTGGAGAAATTGATCAATTTGTATCTTTTTAAATTTGGGAAACCAAAAAACTAATTAAAAA